GGTACATGTCTACACTGGTGAAATGGAATTCGAATCATCTGTCTCATGTTTATTTAACAAACCCAGTGAACGAATGGGTAACAAAATGTGGTATATCCACGCAATGGACTATTATTCAGCCACAAAAAGGATTAAAGTACTGATACTAGGTACAGCCTGGATGAATCTGAAAGACACTGTGCTAAGTGAAAGAACTCAATCACAGAATACCACATACTATATGATTTCACTGCTGTAGGTCCAGAATAGGGGGCTCTATAGAGACAAAAAGAAGACTAGTGATTGAGGGATGGAGGGGGGATGCGGGGATGACAGCTGAAGGATAAGGGGTTTCTTCTTGAGGGGAATCTGTGAACATAACAAAACTCGTTGAATTGTACATGTTAAATGGGCAAATTATGTGCATATGAATTATATCTCAATAAAGCTGTTAAAAATTGAGCCCCTCCCTTAAAATGATGGCATTGAGAAAAGTGATAGCAATGAACAGTTACCACTTAGTCCCTCAGGCCTGTGCTAAGTGCTTTGTACACTTTATTTTTTCTGTGAACTTGCATAGAGAAGTTTACATATGTTATTTAACTGTTCTAATAACCCTATGAGGATAGTATTATTGCTACGTCTTTTTTTTAAAGTTTTGAGTTGTGGTAAAAAAAAACCCACCATAATTATTTCTAAATCTTACTGGTGAGAAAACCATGCTTTAGTAGCAACTTACCTCATGTTAAACAACTAGGTTAAGTTCTGAGACTGCAGAACTGTGTGACTCAAATCCTCGTAAACACTGTGCTGTACAACTGGAATGCCCACAGGATAATTTTATACAAGACATGACAAATGTGCCTTGGCTTTTCTTAAATAAACAAACGCCAGCCTGCTACTATAGCACACATGGGCGTACCTCGTTTTATTGCACTTCGCTTATAGCACTTCGCAGATAGTGCTTCTTCTGTTGGCACCATTTTTCCAACAGTGTGTGCTCACTTCGTGTCTCTGTGTGACATTTTGGTAATTCTTGCGATATTTTAAACTTTTTCATTATTATTATATCTGTTATGGTGATCAGTGATCAGTGATCTTCGATGTTACTATTGGCATTGTTTTGGGGCACCACAAACCATGCCCATATAAGGCAATGAACTGATAAATGTGTGTGTTCAGACTGCTCCCCTGAACTGTTCTTCCCCTCTTTCTCTGCCTTTCCTTGGGCCTCCCTATTCCCTGAGACACAACAATTCTGAAACTAGGCCAATTAATAACCCTACAGTGGCCTTGAAGTGTTCAAGTGAAAGAATCACACATCTCTCACTTTAAATCAAAAGCTGGAAATGATTAAGCTTAGTGAGGAAGGCATGTCAAAAGCTGAGATAGTCTGAAAGCTTGCACCAAACAGCCAAGGTGTGAATGCATAGGAAAAGTTCTTGAAGGAAATTAAAAGTGCTACTCCAGCGAACACGTGAATGATAAGAAAGCAAAACAGCCTATAGAGAAAGTTTTGGTGGTCTGGATATTATACCAGACCACTCGCAACATGCCCTTAACCCAAAGCCTAATCCAGACTGAGGCCCTAACACTCTTCAGTTCTATGTTGCCTGAGAGAAGTGAGGAAGGTGCAGAAGGAAAGTTGGAAGCTAGCAGAGGTTGGTTCATGAGGTTTAAGGACAGATGGCATCTCTATAACATAAAAGTGCAAGGTGACATGCAAGTGCTGATGGAGAAGCTGCAGCAAGTTATCCAGGAGATCTAGCTGAGATAATTGATGAAGGTGGCTACACTAAATAGCAAATCTTTGGTGTAATGAAACAGCCTTCTGTGGGAAGAAGATGCCATGTAGGACTTTCATAGCTAGAGGGGAGAAGTCAATGTCTGGCTTCTTGCTTTGTTGTTAGGGGCTAGTGGAGCTGATGTCTTTAAGTTGAAGCCAATGCTCACTTACCATCCTGAAAATCCTACAGCCCTTAAGAATTATGCTAAATCTACTCTGCCTTTTCTCTATAAACGAAACAACAAAGCCTGGATGAGAGCACATGTGTTAATAGCATGGTTTACTGAATAGTTTAAGCCCACTGTTGGGACCTACTGCTGAGAAAAAAAGATTTCTTTCAAAATATTCCTGTTCATAGATAATGCACATAGTCACCCAAGAGCTCTGATAGAGATGTACAAGGAGATCAATGCTGTTTTCATGCCTGCTAACATAACATTCATTCTGCAGCCTATGATAAGGGAGTGATTTCACCTTTCAAGTCTTATTATTTAAGACATACATTTCATAAGGCTATAGCTGCCATAGATAGTGATTCCTCTGATGGATCTGGGAAAAGTAAATTGAAAACCTTCTGGAAAGGATTCATTATTCTAGATGCCATTAAGAATACTCGTGATTCATGGGAGGAGGTCAAAATACCAACATTAGGAGGAGTTTGGAAGAAGTTGATGGATGGCTTTGAGGGATTCAAGACTTCAGTAGAGGAAGTCGCTGCGGATATGGTGGAAATAGCAAGAGAATTAGAAGTGGCACCCGAAGAGGTGACTGAAATGCTGCAATCTCATGATAAAACTTGAATGTGTGAGGAGTTGCTTCTTATGGATGAGCAGAGAAAGTGGTTTCTTGAGATCTATTCCTGGTGAAGATGCTGTGAACATTGTTTCAAGACAACAAAAGATTTAGACTATTACATGAACTTGGTTGGTGAAGCAGTGACAGGGTTGGAGAGGATCGATTCCAATTTTGAAAGAAGTTCTACTGTGGGTAAAATGCTGTGAAACAGCGCTGCATACTACGGAGAAATCTTTTGTGAAAGGAAGAGTCAATCTATGCAGCAAATTTCATCGTCTTAGTTTAAGAAATTGCCACAGTCACCCCAACCTTCAGTAGCCACCAACCTGATCATTCAGCAGCCATCAGCATTGAGGCAAGACCCTGCAACAGTGAAAAGATTACGACTCACTGAATGTTGAGATGATTGTTAGAATTTTT